GAGTAATCTTCGGGAGTTGGTGATGAACAGGGAGACCTGGCGTGCTGTGATTCATGGGGTTGCAAAGAGTCGGACACGACTGAGTGACTGAACTGAACTGAACTGAAACAAGACATTGGAGAATTTGTCCAAGTTGATGCTGCCTGTTAGTACTGAAGGTGGGGTGACAATTCAAGCAGTCTGATCCCCTGAGCTCCCTGTCTGCTACATGCTCTTTTTGGTTCTGAGAAGCAGAACAGAAAAGTGGTTAGGAGCACCAGGCTATGGAACCAAATCCTGTTCCCATCTCACTTAGCCACTGGGTTATCAGTGTTATCACCTGTTATCAGGTTATCACCTGATAACCCTGGGCAAGTTACTTAACCTTTCAGTTTGCACCTATGTAAAAGCGGGGGGGTTGTTGTTCAGTCGCCAAGTAGTGTCTGACTCTTTGAGACCCCATGTACTGACTGCAGGCTGGCATGCTGCAGCCCATGGTTTGGGGGGAGGGGTGACCCTTTTATCTCATAGGGTTGTTGAGAGGATTCAATAAAATAATGTTTCATTTCAGTTCAGTCGCTCATTCATGTCCGACTCTGCAACCCACGGACGGCAGCACGCCAGGCCTCCCTGTCCATTGCCAGCTCCCAGAGTTTACTCAAACTCATGTCCATTGAGTCAATGATGCCATCCAACCTTCTCATGCTCTGTCATCTCCTTCTCCTGCCTTCAATCTTTCCCAGCATCAGGGTCTTTTCAAATGAAGTTAGTTCTTCGAATCAGATGGCCAAACTATTGGAGTTTCAGCCTCAGCAACAGTCCTTCCAGTGAATATTCAGGACTGATTTCCTTTAGGATGGACTGGTTGGATCTTCTTGCTATCCAGGGGACTCTCAGGGGTCGTCTCCAACAGCACAGTTCAAATGCATCAATTCTTCGGTGCTCAACTTTCTTTATAGTCCAACTCTCACATCCATACATGACTACTGGAAAACCATAGCTTTGACTAGATGGACCTTTGTTGGCAAAGTAATGTCTCTGCTTTTTAATATGCTGTCTAGGTTGGTCATAACTTTTCTTCCAAGGAGCAAGCATCTTTTAATTTCATGGCTGCAGTCACCATCTGCAGTGATTTTGGAGCTCAAAAAAAATGAAGTCTGTTATTATTTCTCCATCTATTTCCCATGAAGTGATGGGACCAGATGCCATGATCTTAATTTTCTGAATGTTGAGTTTTAAGCCAGTGTTTTCACTCTCCTCTTTCCTTTTCATCAAGAGGCTCTTTAGTTCTTCTTAGCTTTCTGCCATAAATGTGGTGTCATCTGCATATCTGAGGTTATTGATATTTGTCCTGGCAATCTTGATTCCAGCTTGTGCTTCCTCCAGCCCAGCACTTCTCATGATGTACTTTGCATGTAAGTTAAATAAGCAGGGTGATAATATACAGCCTTGACATACCCCTTTCCCTATTTGGAACCAGTCTGTTTTTCCATGTCCAGTTCTAACTGTTGCTTCCTGACCGGTGTACAGATTTCTCACGAGGCAGGTCCCGTGGTCTGGTATCCCCATCTCTTTAAGAATTTCCCAGAGTTTGCAGTAATAATGTTTGCAAAGCATCAAGTGCAATATCTGGTACATATTAGCTATATTTTTTATTCAACCCTGGCTACCTTCCTCTGCAGATTGATAGGTTACTCTTAGACTTTCATTACACCTGTTGAAAAGTCACTTCCTCAGGGAAATCTTTCTTGTCCTTATTTCCTCTGACCCTGGCCACACGCCACCACCCAGATTAAGACTATCGCCATGAGTTATAGGCTCAGATAGCCCCATACTCTCCCTCTTGCACGTACCACTCTTGTAACTTTACATTATCAGTTATTCAACATCTTTCCAGTAGTAGACTGTAAGATTCAAGAAGGCAGGCATATTGTCTGATTTGAGGGTCACATTGTGTCCTCAGCAACAGCACAGTACCTGACACATAGTAGGAATTCCAGCAAATCTTTAAAGTGAATGAGAGCTAATTTTGTGGCTGCCTTGGACATTAATGGCTGGGATATCTTGAGGCTAGTCCCATATCATCTTTGGTAAATATTGATGACAGTAGTACTTAGCTCAGGTCCATTAAGAGAAGTAAAGGTGATAGTGCATTTGAAGCACTTCTGCCTGGCAAATGGTAAATCCTTAGCAAATACAAATTATTATTAACAGCTCAACAATTAATGGCTGGCTCCATCATGTACAGGCTTTAGAGAGGTCTTGCGTTTTAGAGCAGTGATAGCCAGTCCTGGATAACATAGGATTCTTTTTTTTTTTAACCCCCTCTTCTAAAACCCTATATTTCCTCCTCCATCTTCATTCTCAAAGACCTTCCTTCCTAATTTACTGATAAACTGAATCAGAAGGGCACTCATGCAGACGCTGAACACTTTTTACCTACTTATCAGTGTCTGTACCCATATACTTTACTTTCCTTTATTTTTTTCCCAGTTTTTTAAATACATTTTTTTCCATTTATTTTTATTAGTTGGAGGCTAATTACTTTACAGTATTGTAGTGGTTTTTGCCATACATTGACATGAATCAGCCATGGATTGACATGTGTTCCCCATCCCGATCCCCCCTCCCGCTGCCCTCTCCATCCCATCCCTCTGGGTCTTCCCAGTGCACCAGCCTTTCCTTTAATTCAGATGAAACATTCATGTACCTGTCCAGAAATCAGACCCTGCACATTCATTACTCCAGTAGTTCTCCATGTTTTTTATATCATTAGTTTTTCTTTGCTTGATCTCTCCTTTGTCATACAAGCTTGCTGTTGTTTTTTAAGAGTTTTTCATCTTAAAAAAAAAAAAGACCCTACTGTATTTCCAGCTACTGCCCTGTTTATCTGCTCTTTGCAGCAAAATTGTGCTTGCTATCTACTGTTCTACCATTCTTTCCAATTAATTCCAGTCAGGCTTTTGCCCCAGTCTCCCCATCAAAACTATTCTTGGGTCATCTTCTAGTTGACCTCCGTGAATTTAAATCCAACAGCCGGTTCTCAGTGTTCACCTTATTTCATTTAGCATTTGGTGCAGTTTATCATCTGCCTCCTTAATACATGTTTGTTTATTGAGTTCTAAGACAGCACATGCTCTTCCTTTTCCTCCTAGCTCACTGATCGTGCTTGAGTATCCTTTGCTGTCTTCTTTCCCACCTCATAACAGGTCTCCATCCTTTGTCCTCTTCTCTTTAATTATGCTCATACTTTGATGAACAGAGAACTCAAAAATTTATGCTAATAACTCCCAAATTTATACCTCCAGCTTATACCCTTCTCTTACTCTTAGAGCTGTTACTTACTTGACATATGTCATGTTTTAAAACTTAAACCTCTCATTTTCTTTCCAGAACATCTGTACCCACAGTTTTTGATGTGTCAGTTATTGGCAAATCTATTCTACTAGTTGCTCAGCCAGAAGCTTTGGAGGCCTTTTAAAATTCTCTTTCACACATCCCACATTCCATTTGTCAGAAAATCATGTTGGCTCTGCCTTCAGAATATATGTTAAATCTCATCACCTTCTATGGCAGCCACTCTGGTATGAGTGGTCATCCCACCTGATCTTTCTGCTTTCAACTTACTTCCCTCCCAACTATTCAGCTTATCAGCCAAAATGATCCTTTTAAACGTAGCCTTTCTCTACTCCAGACTTTGCAGTGACTTCCCATTTCACCCAGAGTAGAAGCCAAAGGTTTTGTTCACAATGGCCTGGTCTCCATATTCTCCTCTGCTATCTCCTCTGACCTATATTCTATCTTGTTCATTCTTTGGACTTCTTCCACTGTACCGCTGCCCCTCTACCCGGAACATGCTTTCCCTGCTGCTAAGTCGCTTCAGTCATGCTTTCCCTAATGGCTAATTCTATGATTCACTGCAAGGCTTTGTTCAGAAGTCACCTGAGGGGCTCCCCATTCAACACATTTTTAATTTCTTCCTAGTTAGAATACAGCCACTTCTTCCAAGCTCACTTATCCTGTTTTATTTTTTTTCCATTTTTACTTTCTAGTGCATTTAGTTATTATATTATTATTGCTTGTCTTCTCCTACTGGAGGGTAAGTTTTATGAACGAAGAGCCTTTTCGGGGTCCGTTTGACCGCTGCTTGAGGTATCTGAAGTGCCCGGGTTGGAGCTTGGCGCATAGGCATTCAAGAAACGTTTGTTGAATGAATGACTCCCATCGACTGCAGACATGGGAGAATACCTTAAAAATGACTTGTTGCTCTTTAAATTCAAAGCTGAATTAAGTCTAGCCGAGGAGCCTGGAACCAGTTAGGGAAGAATGATGGTGAGGTTGTGCTCTATATTAAATGTTTAAGTCTTTGCTTGAAAATCTAGAATGAGGTTGTTCTTTAATTATTGTAAACATGGTGTCTGTTTTGCATGTGTTCTTCTGAATAACTAGCAAAATGTTTTTAATAGAGTACATTTAATGTGGCAAATTTAATGTGTTCAGGAAGTTAACACTGTTGTCAAAACTTGTGGACATGCTAGTCCTTACCTTATCAATCGTATTCAAAGGTACCTTTTTATATTTAAGTAGAAGTTACGCTACTATGAAGTTTCTTGATTTCTTTTGCTGTTCTCTTAACTTGGTTACCTGTATAGTGATATAATTATGAGATCATCCTACCTTAGCATTTAAGAAATCTTAGCACACAACAACTGAATAGTTGCCTAATACTGCATTCCTTAGAAGCAAAATTAAATTGTATTCATCTTTTTTTTTTTTTGCTCTGTTTGATTTGTTCTCAAATTGGGTAACAAAATAGTCAGACCTTACTCATAACAAGAAGGCAAATTTGACCATTTAAAAGTCAAAGAGAAAATCTTCAATACTGTGTTTTCATGTGGCAGTCATATTGAATGTATACATACATACGCAACACACTTGTGTCTTTTATTAGTGACATAAAGTTTTTTGTTTAAGTTTAGATACTTTTATTTCTTCTATTTACAGTAGACAGGAAGAAAATCATGGAGGCAGATGTAATAGCAGATCTTCAGCGCAAACTCAAAGAGACTGAACAAGAGCGGCTGAAAGCGGCACAGTATGGTTTACAGCTAGTGGAGAGCCAGAATGAATTGCAGAATCAACTGGATAAATGCCGTAATGAAATGACGGCCCTGGCTGAGGTAGGACGCTGGACTCCTCTGCTCACCAGCTTGTGCTTAGCCACTGAAGATTGCTGTTGTCCAGTAGTCATTAATATTATTAATGTAATATTTTTCTTTTCTGAAAATTTTAGATCTAATTCCCACCCATCTGCAGGGAAATGAACTAAATAAATCTCTAATTTTTTTTTTTTTTCCTGACTCTCTGTTCTGAGTTTGAAAAATATGTTCTCTTTCTTTACTCCATATTGAATTTTAGACTTTGGTTTGTCTTGATGCTACACCAAGTCTTTAGTTCTATCCTAAAGTCTAGACTTTTGTATTCAGTTGCCCACTCATGGTCATCTCAGACTTAACATAAACAGAATAGTTGATTCCTTACCCACTAACCAAACATGCTCTTGCAGAATTCTTTACCTTACTTGGTAACTATAGAAACATTTATCCAGTTACTTGAGCCAAAAATCTAGGAGTTTTACTCAATATCTTTCTGTCCCATATTTCTCATATTTAATCCACTAGTAATCTCTAAAAATTTGACCTACAGAACATCTGGTGCTCTAGGTCAGACCACCGTCATCTCTCCCTTGGACTGTTACCATAGCCTCCTGACTAGGTTGCCCGTCTCCCAGATTGCCATTCACACCGATCACTCTTTACACGTCAGCCAGGTGGTTACTGAGGAGCACATAAAAAATCATGTCACAGTTCTGCTGAAAGCACAGAGCAGCTTCCTGTTTTATCTACAACAAAACCTGAATTCTCTGCCTGGGTTTGTAGATCTCCATGTAACCTAACCTCTTTCAACCTTTGACCTTATCTTATGAATTACTTTCCCCTGTTCTTAACTATATTAGTCCTGCCTTATGGGCTCCACAGGAGCTGTTGCCTCCATCTGAGTTATTTGTCCCCACCCTCATGAGAGACATGACATGAGAGAGGGGAATTTTGTCTCTCTTGTTCACGGCTGCATCCCTAATATCTGACATGCTTTTATTGAAAGAATGAATAAATCAGTTTTACTTAGAAAATGCTCAGTAATGTATTTAAACTTTGATCTCCAAATTTAAACATAGCAGTTAAAAAAACTAATGACCACCCTTATTGTTATTTTTTCCTTTTAAATCTATTTTTATCTTATTTTTTTAAGCTTGTTGAAGACGTTTGAACTAATGACATTTTCTTCATTTTACTTAGAGCTACAAGTAGAGAATATTGTTATGAAACCAAATAATTCTTACTAGGAAAACTTAAGTGCTATTAATTTTTTTTTCTTCCTAGCAGTGACTACTTGACTTGACAGCCATAGATCACTTTTTACTTCTTTTGCAGGACATAGAAGCAATTACTGTATCCCCAGCATGAACTTTAACTTAGTCTCAAATCACGTCTCAGGGGGTTTTTTTTACATTAATACTAGCTATAGTTATTCCAGATTTAACATGTGGTTGTTACTTAGAAAGCAACAAATGTGTGAAATAGGAATGATTCAAAGATGAAACCTGCTTATGTGTGATGGCTTTATTTTTATGTAACTGAATTATAATTGAATCTGTTTTCAGAGCTATGAACAAGAAAAATACACTCTTCAAAGAGAAGTTGAGCTCAAGAGTCGAATGTTAGAAAGTTTGAGCTCTGAATGTGAAGCTGTTAAACAACAACAGAAAATGCATCTGGAGAAATTAGAAGAAACACTGAGCAGAAGCCACGGGCAGGAAGTGAATGAACTAAAAAAAAAGGTTTTGTGTATCTGTGTATTTTGGAACAGAAGTATTTCATGCTCATGCAATCATTTGTAAACTTTAGATGATGAAAGATTTTCTTACTACCATCTATGCAAAATAGCTGAGATGAGGAGTTCCATCATCTTAATGTGAGGAGCGGAAACACTGAGAAACAGTAGTTTACCTTAGCGGTTTGTTTAAATAACATTTTAGTAGTTAAATTGAATTATTTAATTTTAGTAACTGCGTATTTGTTGAGGAGTTTTAGCTCTGATCAGCAGGGCCTCCTTTAGAGTGCTCAGGATACCGGTCCCTTTTCAGAAAGACTAGTTTCCTACCGGTCCCTTTTCAGAAAGACTAGTTTCCTAGCCTTCATGCAACTTGTGGTACACTTTATAATTCTGCAAAGAAACCAATAGTTTTTGGTAAATTAATGTGCATTAGAGTTGTATATTTTACAACTATAAAATGTATATTTTACAGTTTGTTTATTGAAGATAAACTAATACATATGATCCAGTTCATACACAACTCCTTAAGAGTGGTACCATTATTATCTCCATATAACATGAGAAAACCAGTGTTTAAAGAGATTGAGTAAAGTTGGACAAGATTATAGAACTAGAGACTATCAGTCAAATTTTAGTTCTCTTATTTCAAAGCCTGCTTCATTGTGTTTCATATAGCATCTTTTAAGATTTTTATATATCTGTACCACCTGTGCTGTTAGTTAATTCTCATTAAATAGACTCTCCTTTAAATGTTCTCTAATTTTAAGTAACAATATCAATGAAATATATTATGTTTGAGCTGGTTATTTTTTTTTCCTAATACGCAGGAAAATATAACTATCAAAATATGCTTTCATGCAATGCATAGAATCATCTTGCTTACCACTCTGACAAATAATAATCCAGCTTGTCTGAAGCTACGCAGGTTGAGACACCAATAACTGATATGGATGCTTTTTTTCTTCTTCATGGATATTTTCAGTTTAGCAATAACTTTCAGTACCTAAACAAAAAAGAGTAATGTACGAAATATTGAGTCTAAAGTGAGGCCATTTATAGAGATGGCTTTTTGGTAAAGACTAAATCATTCAAAAAATATTTTCAGTCTTACTTATATTCTCAGATTACTTGTACCAATAATTTGGAGTTTTACTTGCCATCTTTCTTTCACTTATTTCTCGCATTTCTCACATCAACAAGCTCTTAAGAACTTAAGCTACAAAATATCTGTCTCCGCTACTCTGTAGTGCAGCTCACGATCATCTCTCCACCACTGTCCAGGTAGCCTGTTTCCTTTATTGCTGTCATGCCATTCATTTTTCACACGGCGGCAACATGGCCAGGAGTCCAGACCTACTCTGATTACGTTTAAGGATTATTTGTGTGCTTATAAAACAAGGCACGTCACTGCCTATTAAAAGGTGCTTAGCTTTGGCCAAATAGGAAACCCCAGTCATATCATACAGTAAGTTTGGGTCATTCAGTGATGTTTTTCAGAAGGATATACACATATCAACATACATCAATCAGCTGAAATTTTTATTTCACATGATAAAATTGAAAGAGGAAAAGAAAATAGAAGTCTCTTTTATTTTTTAAATAGTAAACAAATACCAGGATATAGTCTCGGAATGTTGAGACCCTATTCAATATAATTCAATATAGATGATAATGGTAACCCTGGACATCAAGTAAATGACTTTTATTAACAACAAACCATTTAGTGAATGTTAGATGTGGTGCTGAATGTTTTACCCACCCAATCTCCGTTGAGAGCCGCACAACAGCGCAGGTAGAATCACTTATAGTCTTACATTTGAGGAATGTGAGACAGGTTAAACTTTGACCTGACCCTAAAGCTTCATCCTCCTGCTGTAAGGAGGATGTGACGTATTTAGGCATACCTCTGAGATACTGCAGGAAAAGTTCCAGACCACTGCAGTAAAGTGAGTCACATGAATTTTTTAGTTTCCAAAGTAGTCTTTTAAAGTGTGCAATAGCTTTGGGTCTAAAAACAGCAGTGTATATACCTTAATTTTAAAATATTTTATTGCTTGAAAATACTGACCATGATCTGAGACTTCAAAAGAAAAAGTCATCTTTTTTTTTCCATCTGCGTTGATGGCTGCTGGCTGATGGGGCAGTGGTTGCTGAAGGTTGGGTTGGCTATGGCAATTTCTTAAAATAAGTCAACAGTATCAATTGACTCTTCCTTTTATGAGCAGTTTCTCTGTAGCATCAAAGCAGTTGGATAGCATTTTATCCACAGTAGAACTTATTTCAAAATTGGACCCAGTTGTCTCAAACTCTGCTGCTGCTGCTCAGATGTTCAGTAGTGTCCAGCCTTTATGCCTCAGACCCCATGGACTATAGCCTGCAAGGCTTCTCTGTCCATGGGATTTCCCAGGCAAGAATACTGGAGTTGGTTGCCATTTCCTCCTCCAGGGGACCTTCCCAATTCAGGGATCAAACCCACCCAAGTCTCTTACCTCTCCTGCGTTTTCAGGTGGATTCTTTACCACTAGTGCCACCTGGAAAGCCCAGTCTCACACTCTGTCACTACTTTGTCAACTAAGTTTATGTCCTGTTCTAAATCCTTTGTTGCCATTTCAGCAGTCTTCACAGCATCTTCACCAAGGGCAGATTCCATCTCAGAACCACTCTCTTTGCTCATCCATAAGAAGCAACTCCTCATCTATTAACACTTAATCATGAAATTGCAACAGTTAAGTAGTAAGAATTAATAGTCAAAAATTACTCCTTGATCCTATAGGCTGCAGAATGGATCTTGTGTTACCAGGCACGAAAACAACCTGAATCTTCTACATCTCACTTTGGTGACCAGGTGCATTTTCAGTGAACAGTAATATTTTGAAGGGACTCTTTTTTTCTGAGCAGTAGGTCTCAATAGTAGACTTCAAATATTCAGTAAACCATGTTGTAAACAGATGTGCTGTCAGCCAGGTGTCCCATTTATAGAGCACAAGCAGAGTAGATTAAATGTAATTTTTAAGGTCCTAGGATTTTTAGAATGCTTAATGAGCATTGGCTTCAACTTCTTTTCTTAAACTTCATGAACCAACCTCTGTTAGCCTCAAAATTTTCTTCTGCAGCTTCCACCTGCCTCTCAACCATCATAAAATTGAAGACAGTTTGTATTAGACTTTGGCTTAAGGGAATGTTGTTTCTGGTTTGATCTGCTGTCTGGACCTCTAAAATTTTCTCCATATCAGCACTAAACTCTTCAGCTTCCTTATCATTTGTATGTCCACTAGAGTAGCAATTCTAACTTCCTTGAAGAACATTTCCTCTCAATTCACAACTTGGTTAACTGACGCAAGAGGCCTAGTTTTCAGCCTGTCGACTCTCAATAAGCCTTTTGTCACTAAGCATAATCATTTCTAGTTTTTGATTTAAAGTGAGAGGTGTAAACACTCAGAGGCCATTATAGGGTTAGTAATTGACCTAATTTCATATTGTTGTGTCTTGGAATAGGAAGATCCTAGGAGAGGAAGCAGAGAAGGCAATGGCACCCCACTCCAGTCCTCTTGCCTGGAAAATCCCATGGACGGAGGAGCCTGGTAGACTGCAGTCCATGGGGTCACTAAGAGTCGGGCACGACTGAGCGACTTCACTTTCACCTTTCACTTTCATGCATTGGAGAAGGAAATGGCAACCCACTCCCGTATTCTTGCCTGGAGAATCCCAGGGACAGAGGAGCCTAGTGAGCTGCCGTCTAGGGTCGCACAGAGTCGGACACAACTGAAGCGACTTAGCAGCAGCAGGAGAGGAAGAGAGAGAGGAATGACCATTCAGGGGAGCAGTCGATTTGTCAATTCAATTCACCCTCTTAAAGGAGTGTGGTTTGTGATGCCCCAAAGCATTTACAACAGTAACATCAAAGATCACTGATCACAGATCATTATAACAAATAAAATAATGAAAAGATTTGAAAGATTGTGAGAATTACCAAAATATGGCACAGAAACAAGAAGTGAGCAAATGCTATTGAAAAAACTTGCTTGGTAGACTTGCTTGGCTCAGGATTGCCACAGACTTTCCATGTGTGAAAAAAATGTAGTGTCTGGGAGGTAGAACTAAGCAAAACGCAGTAAGACAAGGTATGCCTGTATTAGTTTTCCAAGGCTGAAGCAATGTGACATTTTTGGAAAAGGGGTTAAATAATTTGTTCAGCTTGATTGCCTTTCAAAATAGTTGTCCTGCAGGTACCAGAACCGCTTGTACTGCAATTGTATGTTCTGATGACCTTTACTACCTTTTACTATATAAGATTGTGAATTTTCTTTTTTTTAGTTAGAAACACTGAAAGCTGAGTTAGATGAAGCTCGGCTAAGTGAAAAGCAGCTGAAGCACAAAGTGGATCATCAGCAGGAACTCCTTTCTAGTAAATCAAAGGAAATGCAAATAATGTCTGAACGTGTACATGAAAGTATGTCTTCAGAGATGCTGGCGCTTCAAATTGAGCTGACTGAAATGGAAAATGTGAAGGTAATTTTTATGGCATGTGTATTATGGACTTTTCTCCTTTTTCTGACTGTATATTTTCATGTTTTTGTAATAATCCTTATGAGCTATTTTTAAGACTGAAATATTTTTTTGCCTAACTTTGATCTCATTAAATAAGTTTTTAAATGGATTCCTTCAAATACAGTAAAACTTTAGGTTAGATGATTATGTAAGGCAGTATTATTAATGCTTTTAGATTAATGGAGCCTCTGGAAGAATTTAGACGTTTGTTCTGATTCTCGCTTGTGTCATAAAAGCCCGATATGAAAGTCGGTCGGGCAGAAGCTGACTTGCTGTTCAGCTGCTCAGTCGGGCCTGACTGCTGCGACCCCGTGGGCCGCAGCGCCCTATTGTTTTGCCGAAAGTTTTCACTTTCGTCTCAGGTTCAAAGGATTTGTTAACAAATTAAGCCACTTGTTCTATATAAATAATACAAATGTTTATTAGAGAATTATCTAGCTTACTTTCAATATACTAACATGAAAAGAAAAGAGAAATAGAACAGAGGATATGTCACCAAGTTGGCTTTTTACCAAGGTCCAGACTCAAACGGTGCTGGGAAGTCCTGTGTCAGAGCACATCTGGTGTCCCAGTTGTCCCAAGGTCCCAGGCAGCATGTCCGCTCCTTGGGTTAGACTTCAAAAAATTGCAGTTCAGGGTTCCCGCTTATAATCCCAGGATGAAAACTGGTATAATCATCAGTCTGTGACCAAATTGCAAGCCTGGTTTCATGTTAATGCTGTTTGTTTTGTCTTGTAAAACTTGGAATGTTGTTATGCCGGGGCTTGGTTGGCCAAGGTCCCTCCAAGGTCTCAAAATTCTTCCCCATCTTATCTGTGGTGCTGCGTGCCTTGCACTCACAGCAGGCCGTCACTCACAGTCAGGGTAGTGTCCAGGCAGGCTAGAAGCAAGGTCAGAGGCCTGCTCTGCTTTGTCTCTGAAGCCTAAACAAGACCATTTAATTTCCCTAACACCTGTCCTTCACTATCTCCCAAAGTTTTCTCAAACTCATGTCCATTGAGTCAGTAATGTCACCCAACCATCTCATTCTCTGTCACCCCCTTCTCCTCCTGCCCTCAGTCTTTCCCAGCATCAAGGTCTTTTCCAGTGAGTCGGCTCTTTGTGTCAGGTATGCAAAGTATTGGAGCTTCAGCTTCAGTTCTTCCAATGTTTTCCTCTAGGATTGACTGGTTTGATTTCCTTGCAGTCCAAGGGACTCTCAAGAGTCTTCTCCAACACCACAGTTCAAATGAATCAGTTTTTCGGCAGTCAGCCTTCTTTATGGTCCAACTCTCATATCTGTACATGACCACTGGAAAAACCACAGCTTCGATTATACGGACCTCTGTTGGCAAAGTAATGTCTCTGCTTTTTAATATGCTGTCTTGGTTTGTCATAGCTTTCCTTCCAAGGAGCAAGCGTCTTTTAATTTCATGGCTACAGTCACTGTGTGCAGTGATTTTCCTGCCCAAGAAAATAAAATCTGCCACTATTTCCACTTTTTCCCCATCTATTTGCCATGAAGTCATGGGACCAGATGCCATGATCTTCGTTTTTTTGAATGTTGAGTTTTAAGCGAACTTTTTCACTCTCCTTTTTCACCTTCTTCAGGGGGCTCTTCAGTTCCTCTTCACTTTCTGCCATTAGAGTGGTATCATCTGCATATCGGAGGTTGTTGATATTTTTCCCGGCAGTCTTGATTCCAGCTTGTGATTCATTAAGCCTGCCATTTCAAATGGTGAACTCTGCATATAAGTTAAATAAGCAGTGTGACAATATACACCCTTGACTCAGTAATTTTGAGATTTTAAACCCATACGCTGTCCACGTCTGGTTCTAATTGCTGCTTCTTGACCTGCATAGAGGTTTCTCAGGGGGCAGGTAAGGTGATCTGGTACCCCCTTCCAGAGTTTGCTGTTATCCATACAGTGGAGGTAGATACATGAGTATAGTTTTTTTCATTGTAAGCTAAAATTAACTTAAAAATGAAAATTTTTAAATTTGTAGAAAAGAAACAGTCTCTGGAGTCTTTTATTTGATCACTTTTTTAAAAAGTAATTTAAAAATTTTTTTTGAGTTTTTTTAAATTTATTTTTTATTGAAAGATAATTGCTTTACAGAATTTTGCTATTTTCTTTATTATGCACTTTAATAATCTTTGACTAGTTATTAGTTTTAGTTTTGAGTGTTAACCTCTGCTGATAGATAAACTGACTGCTGCTAACTGAAGGATTATTCAAGAATTTCTTCTTTTTCAATTCCTGTTTAATAGACCACCCTCCAAGAAGAAGTGAATGAACTGCAGTACAGACAAGAACAACTCGAACTTCTTAATGCTAATTTAATGCGCCAGGTAGACCGGCTTAAAGGAGAGAAAGAAGAGCGAGAGAAAGAAGCAGTTTCTTACTATAATGCCTTAGAGGTATTGTAATTATAGTAATACCAATTTATATAAGTTGTTTTCCAATTTATGTAAGTTGTTTTCTTGCTAATCTTATCTCAAGAAGCTGAATTGTTTTCTCTTTTGAATTTAGAAAGCTCGTGTAGAGAAACAGGACCTTCAGGTGCAGCTAGACCAAGCCCTCCAGCAAGCCTTGGACCCTAACAGTAAAGGCAGCTCTTTGTTTGCAGAGGTACATATAAATATTCCATTGATTAAATTGGCATTTCACTTAATAAAAGCATAATTAAACATGTTATTATTTTCTAGGTCGAGGATCGAAGGGCAGCAATGGAACGTCAGCTTATCAGCATGAAAGTCAAGTATCAGTCACTAAAGAAGCAAAATGCATTTAATAGAGAATGGATGCAAAGAATGAAGGTAAGAATTAGTGTAAGATTTATTAAACCTTATTTTGTATCAGTATGACTTGTACAAGTAATACACTTACATGATTATTTCTAGAACTACATAACCTTAGAAAAAATTTTTTTAATTGAATGAGAGATCCCTTTTATATTTTATTTAAAAACATTTAATTCTGTGTAGCTTTTAGTGGTATATGTAACATCAATGGATTGACTGAGTTTTTAATTATTACTCACTAGCCTTGAGTTTTTAATTCTTACTCAGTAGCCTTGCCATTAGCTCTTTCTTTGTAATGGGAAAAATCAAGTATTAAAAAATTTTTCTGTTGTACTGTTGGACTGGTTTCTTTCTGAGGGTAGCCCTGAAATGTCTACTTCAACTAAAACTAGCTCTCTCACCATTCTTCAGTTCTCCCACAAAGGCTTATTTATAGACTGAAGTTTGAATTTCCTTTCCTTGGAGTTTCTCAAGTCATGCATATAAGCCCTTTTAATTTTAAGGTTTGTTGGGCATCATTTTTGTCGAACGGCTGGTAGCAGAAAAGCACATGGAGATTAGATTCCAGTATTGTGCCAACCCTTAGATTCCTGATCTGTTGTGCCCAGCTCTCCTGAAGTGGTAATGCTTAATAGAAGTCTGTAAGGTTTCCTGCCTCTTTTAAGGATGATGAGATCTACCAAAGAAAAGAAATAGGAAAGATCAGTGATTAAACTTTGGCATCAGATGAACTTGGGATTGAATCCTAGTCTCACTTGTTAGCTGTGTGACTTTGGACAAGTATGTTTATTTTTCAGAGTATTAGTCCCCTCATTTGTAAAATAGAGGTGATGGAAGTTGCTTCTTAAGAGTCGCCCTGGAATTAAGTGAAGGCACAGCAGCGTGCTTACATGGTTGGCAAATAGGAAAGTGCTGACTTAACAGACGAGAACTGTGCCTTTTATTTCTGAGGATTTCAGTTGTGCTGTCTGGTTTACCTTGGCTCTCCCCATCTGGGTATTATTTCTTTGTAAATTTTCTCATATTTGCTCTTTGTTTTCTTTTTGTATTTGTTGGGCTATTGTTATTAATCTCTCTCAGTTCTGCTACCCCAAACTATCTTTAGACACAGGTAGCGTTCTGAATTTTGGGGGGATCGATGTGTCTAGCTTCCAGTATGAAAGTGAAAAAGTGAAAGTGAAGTCGCTCAGCGGTGGCCGACTCTTTGTGGCCCCATGGACTGTAGCCTACCTCACTCCTCCGTCCATGGGCTTTTCCAGGCGAGAGTACTGGAATGGGTTGCCCTTTCTTTCTCCAGGAGATCTTCTCGACCCAGGGATTGAACCTGGCTCTCCTGCATTGTAGGCAGATGCTTTACCATCTGAGCCACCGGGGAATTCCAGTATGAAGCAGGAGCGAAAAGTGGATCCTTAAAAATGTTAAAAGTCGTCTTTGTCTCTTACTTATAACCATAGCTGCAACTTCATATCATTGCTGTACTCGAAAATGTATTTTAACTAATTCACACTTTTTAGAACTGCAGAAATTTCCAAAGGCAGAAAGGAATGCTAGGTTTAGGTTTTAGCTAATTTCCTTCTGATTGCTGTGCAACTCCAAGTTTAGGTGGAGTCATAATTAGGTTGATGGCTGCTCTTAAAAAATAACTTTATATTGAAGTTTGCTTCAAGATCCTTAGATTGCCCTTTACCTTTGCTTTCCATCCTTGTCCTTTGTAAAACTCACATTTGTGAATGTGAGTAGCTTAATAATTTCCCCCACTGAATACTACTGAATTTCATTAAAATTTTTGAGGAACTGCACCAGACCCTTAAATGAGAGTGCATATGGTGAGTACAGTATGGCATTCCACCAGGTTTCTTTACCACTTAACTGGTGACTTCTAGATCACAGCCATGCAGTTCAACTATGTTTCACAGAAGTACAGATAATTGTTATGGACTTCAGATACCAATGCATAAGTAGTCGAAATAAGTACTAAAGAGTTATGTCTGTAACTAGGCTATCTGAAATAAATATTTTCAATTTATTAAGAGTATTAAACTAGACACAGCTAATTTGTTTAGCTTCTAAAATGAAGCCAAAGTAGTATAGTACAAAATATGAATTGTATCAAAAATATAGTTATCAGAATCTTCTCCCCCACTCAATTTTATGGGGGAGAATTTTTTTTTTCTAGTTACAGATCGCTACATTGCTACAAATGAAAGGGTCTCAAGCTGAATTTGAACAGCAGGAACGGTTGCTTGCCATGTTGGAGCAGAAGAATGGTGAAATTAAACATCTCTTAGGTGAAATTAGGAATCTGGAGAAATTTAAGGTATGTGTAAACACCTTTTAAAAAAAATAACAGTTTTTTGTTTGAATATCTTGCTACTTTTAACTTGAATAGGTTTCTTTATTATGTAATTAATCTATAGTTTCTATTGAGATTTACCAATATTTAATTTTTTCTTCCGGTTTCTTTCGCTTTTCAGTGGTTTAGACTACTGCTTCTTTTAATCGAGCCCCCATATTTGTTGTTGTTATTGTAAATTTTAACTCATTTATACTCAGAGCGCCCATATCTTAGGTGTACAACTCAGTGAGTGTTACATACATATACCCCCTTAAATTATTACCCAGTTCATGGTATAGAATACTTCTAGCATTCCAAAAAAGTTCTGTCATGTCCCTTTTGAGTGAGTACTCCTACCTTCTAACTTTGTACCAGCTTTACATGTACAAATACTCTTGAACTTCATATAAATAAAACCATTCATTACATACTCTTGTTTTTGTCTTCCACTCAACATTATGTCAGTGAGATTTGTTCCTCCTGTCAAGTGTTACCAGTAATTCTTTTTTGGTGCTTTCTACCTTTATTTTTTGATGAATGCAAAGTAAGATTTTTGTCACATTGTCCAATATTACGTGGCAACTGGAATTTATACAAGTCTTTAGTAAACTATTTCAAAATTTTTGAAATTCAAACCGCCAGGAAAGTTGTAAAATTATTACTGCATACCCTTCATGCAGATTGCTCAGTTGTCAGTTTCACCATATTTGCATTTTTATTTTCTCTTTCTCCATGTATATACATTTTTATCTGAAACATTTGAGAGTAAGTTGCAAACCAGGTATCCCGTTACCCTTAAGTTGTTACTCAGTGTTGAAGTTTATCTTTTATATAACCATAGTACAATGGTCAAATCAGGAAACTAACATTGATACATAGTTTTAGTTGATCTACCTTTTACAGTTTAGGAATTACCACTAATGTCCTTCCTGGAATATAAAAATGACCAAATGCTTTCCTTTCTAGGGTCCAATCTGTGATCATGTGTTGTATTTAATTGTCAAATCTCTTTAAAGTCTCTAAAGGTCCATATAATTAAAGTTAGGAAAGATTGAAGGCAGGAGGAGAAGAGGGCGGAAGTGAATGAGGTGGTAGGATGGCATCACCAATTCAATGAACATGAGTTGGAGCAAACTCAAGGAGATAGTGAAGAACAGGGAAGCCTGGCATGCTATAGTCCATGGGGTTGCAAAGAGTCAGACACGACTCAGAGACTGAACAACAGCAATGTATTTTTGATGGGAATACTCCAGGAGTAGTATTATACTTTCTCAATATGTCACACCAGATGGCACATGATGTCTATTTGTACTGTAACATGTAATATTAACCTTAAATATTTCATAGGGAGTTACTTAGGCCAGGTATATATCTATTTCCCCTTATATTAAACATCCATTGATGATTCTTGCCTGAAACAGGTATTACTGTGGTGATTGCCAAATGATAATTTCAGTTAGAATAGTGAGTTAAAAAGAACTTTTCTCCTCACTTATTTATATCACATAGTCTTATAAATTCTTATTTTATCCTGTGGACTGTAGTCTATAACTTCCTTATTTACTCTGTCCCAGATTTGACCAGTACTTCCTTACTCTGGCATAACAAAATATTCCTAGCCTTGGAATCAACATTTCTACAAGGAACGTAGGTTCCTTCCAATGAAGAAGGGCACTTAGAAACCAAGATATGGGCACTGAGTGTGCTTATTGCTACTGAAATGTCATCACTTCTGGATTCTTTTAGCAGACAGAACTGGAAGTCTATGTCCATATTTTTAGTGTATTTATGTATATGTTATATGCATGTGTAGGAATGTTTCATGTAAACAATTTTGTGTATTACATGCATATATATACACATAAACACATAATAAAACCTTCATTTCATACTTAATAACTCCAGTTTGAGTCCAGTGCCACAGGGTTCATTGCCTACCCCATTTTTTCCAACAGTGAAAAACCTGACTCTTATTGTCCTTAATATATTTGCTTATTTACTCATTCTTAAAAATATATATGGCTTTGAAATTATTCATTAAAGTTCAGGATTTGTTTGCAGTTCTTTTTGTTTTTAACTTGAGGGTATATAGTCAAAATACTATGTTCATAAATTTTGGTTGTTGTTCTGTCATTAAGTCTTGTCCAACTCTGCGGCCACATGAACTGCAGCATGTCAGGCTTCCTTGTCCTTCATTATCTCCCTGAGCTTACTCAAACTCACGTGCATTGAGTCAGTGATGCCATCCAACCATCTCATCCTCTGTCACCCCCTTCTCTTCTTGCCCTCAATCTTTCCCACCATCAGGGTCTTTTCAAATGAGTCAGTTCTTCACCTGAGGTGGCCAAGTATTGGAGCTTAGCCTCAGCGCCAGTCCTTCCAGTGAATATTCAGGGTTGATTTCCTTTAGGATTGACTGGTTTGATCTCCTTGCTATCCAAGGGACCCTCAACAGTTGTCTCCAGTACCAAAGTTCGAAAGCATCAATTCCTCTGCATTCAGCCTTCTTTATGGTCCAACTCTCACATCCGTACATGACTACTGAAAAAACCTTAGCTTTAACTAAATGGACCTTAGAGTCGGCAAAGTGATGTCTCTGCTTTTTGATTCACTGTCTAGATTTGTCATATCTTTTCTTGCAAGGAGGAAGCGTCTTTTAGTTTTGTGGTCGCAGTCACTATCTGCAGTGATTTTTGGAGCCCAAGAAAATGAAATCTGACACTGTTTCCACTGTTATCTATTTGCCATGAAGTGATGGGACTGGATGCCTTTATCTTCATTTTTTGAATGTTGAGTTTTAAGCCAGCTTTTTCACTCTCCTCTTTCAACTTCAGTAAGAGGCTCTTTAGTTCCTCTTCATTTTCTGCCATTTAAGTGGTATCATCTGCATATCTGAGGTTATTGATATTTCTCCCAGCAATCTTGTTTCCAGCTTGTGCTTCATCCAGCCCTGCATTTCGTATGATGTACTCTGCATACAGTTAAATAAGCAGGGTGACAATATACAGCCTTAACATACTCCTTTCCCTATTTTGAACCAGTCCATTGTTCCATGTACGATTTTTTACTGTTGTTTCTTGACCTGCATACAAGTTTCTCAGGAGACAGTTAAGGTAGTCTGGTATTCCCATCTCTTCAAGAATATTCCACAGTTTGTTGTCATTCACACAGTTAAAGGATTTAGCATAATCAATGAAGCAGAAGTAGATGGGTTTTTTGAAATTCTCTTGCTTTTCCTATGATCCAGCAAATGTTGATCTCTGGTTCCTTTGCCTTTTCTAAATCCAACTTGTACATCTGGAAGTTCTCGGTCCATGTACTACTGAAGCCAAGCTTGAAGGATTTTGAGCATAATCTTGCTGGGATGTGAAATGAGTGCAGTTGTACATGATTTGAACATTCTTTGGCATTTCCTATTTTAGGGATTGAAATGAAAACTGACCTTTTCCAGTTCTGTGGCCACTGCTGAGTTTTCCAAATTTGCTGGCATATTGAGTGCAGCACTTTCCCTTACCAATTATGAGTGTGGTGTTCATCTGAAATAGTTAGGTTTTGTCCATCCTTGTTGAATTTATTTATTTACTCTTTCCAGTGTGTGAACCATTAACATGGTTCTAAAAGTAAAAACTGTAAAGTTTTGCCCGTCTCCCGTTTCCTTCCACTCTGTTTACACCCCACCTGTTTGGGTAGCCAATTTGTTTCTGATTTACTCATGCTGTGTTCCTTTTTGCAAAAAGAGCAGCTTTATGTAGGCTTTATTTTCCCTTTTTATTTCTTGAAGAAAATGTGGCATAACACAGATAGTCTTTTATAGTTTCCTTTTTTTTTTAATTTTAACCTGGAAATCACTTCATCTAGTTTAGAAAGATCTTCCTAATTAACAGCAAGAGAGAATTCTGATGTATGGACTCTCATACATTCTCCTTTGTCTGGATATTTAGATTATTTCCAGTATTTTTCAATTATGTACAGTGCTACAAAGTGTATTTTGCATGTATTGTGTGTTTCCTTATTATAGATGTATCATCCTGAATAATTCCTATAGTACAATTGCTGGGTCAAAGTAAACTAGCATTGTATCATAGTGCTCATTTCTCTGTCACCTCACCAATAGAATGTATTGTTTTTTTAAATTTTTGCTGGAGTGATAGATGAGAAATGGTATCTCACTGTAGTCTTAATTTCTATTTTTGTAATAATGAGTGAATTTTAACGTGTTTTCATAGGTGTATTTACTTGCATAGGTATATAGAGAAACTGATGCATGTTTTCTAGTGGTGTTTGTACGGTTTCACATTTTAAATTTAGAGACCTGATCTCAATTGAAGTTTATTCTTGTGTATAGGGTGAGATATAAATCTCATTTTACCTTTTCCAAATAACTAGCCAGTTGTCTCAGCATCATTTATTTAAAAGTTAGTCTTGATAGCAGTGATTTAGTATAACATCTTTATCATATATCAGATTTTCACATATGCTTGAGTCTATTTCTGGATTTTCCATTCTATTTGATTGGCCTACTTTTCCGCACATCAGTGCCATACTTTTAATTTTAGAGGTTTTATAGTTATATTTTGTCTGGTAAGGCACTTCTCCCACCATAGCTTTTCTTTCTCAGCGTTTTTTCTGTCCTTTCATTTTTGTTTTTTCCGATGAACATCTTGTCTAGCTCAAAAAAAAGTTTGTTGGCATTTTTATTAGGATTACATTGAATTTATAAATTAACTTAGGGAGCACAGATATCTATCTTCTCACTAAAGAATTAATCACAGCTTATAAATGACAAACTTTGTAAACATTAATAATCTCTTCAACATTCTAAATTGTAGCTATTTATTATAAAATTAGCTATTAGTATAAAATTTTAAGTTTATATAATTTTCTTTCTCTTACAAGAACTGTTGAAAGGACTGCAATTTTGGTTGAACTTGAAAACCATCAGTTGGTAGGTGTATGTGGTTCACCAGTAGACTCTGCACTATACTTTGAAAATTATGGCTTTAAATTAAGGACTTTTACCTGCAATCTCTGAATTTGTTTACATATTTTTAAGCAGATTTACATTTTTTTTCTTAGAGAAATTGTACAGAGATTCCTTCAGAATCTCAGAAGAGCGGGCACCGAAAATAACTATATGGATTTCCACTCTTTTTCATATTTTTGTTATTTATGGCTTTTTCATAAGGCGGGAATTAAGGCTGTGGGATTGGGATGAAAACTGACCTTTCCAGTCCTGTGGCCACTGCCGAGTTTTGCAGATTTGCTGGCATATTGAGGGTAGCACTTTCCCAGTGAGTATTTGTTTCTTCCATATTAAAAGCCAGGAGAGAGGAACCAGAGGGAGGACACAGGTGTGATTAGAAGCATAGGCTTTGGAGACAGAGCTGCGTTCAGATTCTCTCTTCTCAGTCTACTTGCCTGTAGTATTGTGAGCCAGTTCCCTCATCTCTAAGAGAGAAATGCTCCTTCTTATACCTGCTTCAGAAGGTGAGTGAGTTAAGTGGATAGTGCTTAGCACAGTGCCTGCCATATGATAAGCATTTAGTAGTGGTAACTGATTATTAATAAACCTGTGCTAACCAAATTTATTATCTAAGTAGTAAGAAGTGTTGTTTTCTTTAGAGTTTATATGAAAGTATGGAATCTAAGCCTTCAGCCAACTCTGTTCCTTTGGAAGATGTCACCTATTACACAGATTTACTTCAAATAAAGCTTGACAACTTAAAGTAAGTGTTGGGTGCTTAGAAAGACAGAGACTCTGTTCACTTGCTTAATAATAAGTGGTGGTAGTTTTGTCTTTACATTGCCATAAGAAAGTTCCAGAAAAGAACAACAACAAAAAAATACCTCTGTACAGCAAATGATATTTATTCAAGATATAATTCGTACTGGTTATTGAAGACAAATACTTTCAGTGAATAATTAAATGTTTTTAGTTCTTTGTTTTTTCCAAAGCCTTTCAAATTAGCAAGTATAAAGAACTTTAGAAAATGTTCTTATAACCAAATTTTTTTAGGAATAAATATCACGTAATTTAAAACTTAAGAGTTTATTTATACATGTGTAAATGTGGAAGGTATGCCCCTCTTTGTCTATTTGCTTTGAAAAATGCATGAGATTTTTTTATTTGAAACTGCTGTTGTTAAATCTTATTTTGCTTATTGTTTCTTTATTAACTAAAAACACCAGGGAAATATGTTTTACTAAGAGTTCAAATATATAATATAGTAAACAATTTGTGGGCTTTCCAGGTGGGTCAGTGGTAAAGAATGTGCCTGCCAATGCAGGAGATGCAAGAGATGTGGGTTTGATCCCTGGATAGGGAAGATCCTTTGGAGAAGAAAATGGCAACCCACTCCAGTATTCTTGCCTGGAGAATCTCATGGACAGAGGAGCCTGACAGGCTACAGTCCATGGGGTTACAAGAGAGTTGGACACAACTTAACAACTAAACAAATAGTTTGTACTAAAAACTATGTATTTCATGTGTTATGTTAATATTCCTTGATTCTCTCTTTTTTTTTTATTAATGTAGCAAAGAAAATGAAAACACTAAAGGTGAATTGTCCATCCAGCGAATGAAAGCATTACTTGAGAGCCAGCGGGCTCTGGATATTGAGCGGAAACTTTTTTTAAATGAAAGGTGCCTCCAGCTTTCCCAAAGTGAAAATATGAAACTGAGAGCTAAATTAGATGAGCTGAAACTGAAGTATGAACCTGAAGGTATGAATGTATCATATATTTTGTCTTTTATATTATGAGAAGCTCTGAGAAATCATATCAAATTTTTTTCTTTCTACAGCTTTATGCAAACCTCATTACAAACTAATTTGTGACTCTGTATCTATGTTTAATAAAATAAATGTATTGCTACAGAAATTGTAGGAAAGAGAACTGTGTACTGGATGTGCATGAATAAAATGAGTATTCCTTAACATTTGAGCCTTTTCCATTTAAGTCTGCAGCATCTTATGTAACCAACAATTCAGTTTTGTTGAGGCAACCGATGTTTAAGAGCTGTATTAGTTAATAGTAATTGTTCATAAAAAACCTAAAAGAATGGAGTCTAAGAATGTGATTGTTCTTAGGCCAAAAAAGTTCTGTTACATGTTCTAGGTTATACATTTTCAGCCATTTTTGCCCCTACACCGTTCACATGCCTACAACTCTCTCTTCATCATTATTTCAGGGACAGGAGTTATTCTCAACAATAGGGGGGAGATTGTCAGCAATAATAAGGTTTCTTTATAGTTTAAAAAGGCTTCTCTTTCTCTCATCTTTTTCCCCTTCTCTGATTAATAGACTGTCCTGATTAAGAGTTATCCATTTCAAATTTCAAAGGTCTGCTGAACTAAACAGTGCAAGCAAAAGGAAGTATAGTAAATATCGATGGCATGGATTTCAAAGGAGCAGTGCAAGAGAAAGGAAAAATAATGATTTAAAAGCAATACTGTAGAGCAGGAACACCAGCACCACAGTCAACTGTGGTTCCTCCAACTTAATTAATATTTGATTTTGAAAATGAAAGACATGTTAGTTTTGGAAAACAGAAAAAGCTGTTTTAGGACGATTATTCTGTGACTGTATATCTCAACCTGCATAGGGATGGAATGATGTTATGTTAATCCTTATAACACACACTGAGTGTTCACTCAATTAGTGCTTTTAATTCCCATTTTATAGTTTACAAAAACATAGCTCGTGCTTTAGATTAAGTATAAAAGCATATAGCCGTTAACACAGTGCTTTGTACTTAGTAGTTGATCAGTGAATGATTATTATTATTCAAGCTTTAAAAAAAGAAAGAAAACAATGGCTCAGAGAGGTTAAGTACTTTTCCAAGGTCACTCAGATGCTGAGTGTTGTTAGCACTAGGATTTGTACCTGGATAGCTTGACTCTTATCCACTATATCCTTCCTAATTTCCATGCTGAAGCCCCATGCAACTTTTATAATAACCTCAGTTCAGTCGCTCAGTCATGTTCAACTCTTTGCAACCCCATGGACTGCAGCACGCCAGCCCTCCCTGTCCATCACCAACTCAATACTCAAACTCATATCCATTGACTCTGTGATGCCATCAAACCGTCTCACCCTCTGTCATCCCCTTCTCCTTCTGCCTTCAATCTTTCCCAGCGTCAGGGTCTTTTCAGATGAGTCAGTTCTTCATATCAAGTGGCCAAAGTATTGTAGTTTCAGCTTCAGCATCAGTCCTTCCAATGAATATTCAGGACTGATATCCTTTAGGATAGACTGGTTGGGTCTCCTTGCTGTCCAAGGGACTCTCAAGAGTCTTCTCCAACACCATGGTTCAAAATCATCAATTCTTCGGTGCTCAGCTTTCTTTATAGTCCAACTCTCACATCCATACATGACTACTAAAAACTGTAGCTTTGACTAGATGGACCTTTGTTGGCAAAGTAATGTCTCTGCTTTTTAATATGCTGTCTAGGTTTGTCATAGCGTTTCTTCCAAGGAGCAAGCATCTTTTAATTTCATGGCTACAGTCACCATCTGCAGTGATTTTGGAGCCCAAAGTCTGTCACTGTTACCACTGTTTCCCCATCTATTTGCCATGAAGTAATGGGACCAGATGCCATGATCTTAGTTTTCTGAATGTTGAGTTTTAAGCCAAAGTTTTCACTCTCCTCTTTCACTGTCATCAAGAGGCTCTTTAGTTCTTGTTTTCTGCCAGAAGGGTGGTGTCATCTCCATATCTGTGGTTATTGGTATTTCTCCTGGCAATCTTGATTCCGGCTTATGCTTCATCCAGCCCAGCATTTTGCATGATGTACTCTGCATGTAAGTTAAATAAGCAGGGTGACAGTATACAGCCTTGATATATTCCTTTCCCTATTTGGAACCAGTCTGTTGTTCCATGTCCAGTTCTAACTGTTGCTTCTTGACCTGCATACAGATTTCTCAAGAGGCAGGTCAGGTTGTCAGGTATTCCCATGTCTTTAAGAATTTTCCAGAGTTTGTTGTGGTCCACACAGTCAAAGGCTTTGGCATAGTCAATAAAGCAGAAGTAGATGTTTTTTTGGAACTCTTGCTTTTTTGATGATCCAATGGATGTTGGCAATTTGATTTCTGGTTCATCTGCCTTTTCTAAATCCAACTTGAACATCTGGAAGTTCATAGTTCACGTACTATTGAAGCCTGGCTTGGAGAATTTTGACCATTACTTTACTAGCATGTGAGATGAGTGCAATTGTGTGGTAGTTTGAGCATTCTTTGGCATTGCCTTTCTTTGGGATTGAAGTAAAAACTGACCTTTTCCAATCCTGTGACCACTGCTGAGTTTTCCAAATTTGCTGACATATTAAGTACTACACTTCACAGCATCATCTTTTAGGATTTGAAATAGCTCAACTGGAATTCCATCACCTCCACTAGCTTTGTTCGTAGTGATGCTTCCTAAGGCCCACTTGACTTCACATTCCAGGTTGTCTGGCTCTAGGTGAGTGATCACACCATTGTGATTATCTGGGTCATGAAGATCTTTTTTGTATGCCTAGAAGAAAACATTTAAGTGTTCATTCCTACGGTCAAATATATTGCGGTCCCAAGGAAAAATTTATAGCCAGATAACCTTGAAAAGATATAGTTAATGGAATCCATAAAAAAGAAAGAATTAAAGACAGTGTATTTCAGTAAAGAGATGAATAAGTTTTAAAGAAACAGGAGTGGAAAACAAAGGAAAAGAAATACATTTATAGCTAGTTCTACCTTATGTTGATTTATCTTTGATATATTGACTAGATACATTTTTCAATTGTTTTTATTCTCAGAGAAAATTGAAGTGCCTGTACTCAAAAAGAGACGTGAAGTCCTGCCTGTGGATGTAACCGCCCCTGATGCTGTATGCACTACCAGTGCTGCTGGGGAAGAAGTTCATAGATTATCACCACAGAAGGAGGAGGCACAAGCCGATTCTGATGGTTTGGGAGATAACTTGCAGCTAGAAAAGACAGTTTCTGTGAGCACCTCAGGAGTCATTCTCTCTCCTTACAAAAATCTGCCCATGGATATTCAGCCAAGAAAGGAAAAGAAGTGTGTGAAACTTACAGGAGTTCCCGCTGACTCGGAAGCCTTAAGTGAAAGAAGTGGAAACACCCCTAACTCTCCCAGGTCAGTGTCGTCTCTCCTTCAAGGCAGCGAGCAGCCCTCTCCATCTCGTCTCTAGCGCTGCATGAACTGTGCTATCTGCTTCTTAATCTATTTTCTTAGTATTGCATGCAGTGTAATTCCCCAGTTTCATCTACCTACCTTCCAATTTTCTAGAACTTTAAGAAAGACTAAGATGATTGCAAGGGGAAAAGACTGAAAAAGGGAATTATTTTAAACAGTAACACTTTTCTGTGTCACAAGTTTAGTACATCTCTGAATGTTTTGTTGTTTTGAATAAATGTAGTTATTTTTTTCCTGGTTCAGGAGTGACCTGAAAGAAAAATTACTTTACCCCCTAAAAGGGCTTTCTAATTAGTCTTAAGAAATTTCAGCCTTCCAAAAAACTGTTAGGTAAAATTTTTTTATGGCTTTTGAAATTATTTATTCTAAGCCTTCAAGCAAGTGCTTTAATACCTATTCTGACATTTTAAAATATCAAAGGTAATTCATTTTCAATTTACACCCAAACTTCAAAGCCTCTAGTTTCTGCATAATTGAGTTTGTGACTAAAAAGAGGAGGTGTCAGACATACATGTCTGTAGGAATTAACATTTTAAGGTCCTTGTCCTTTTTTTAAAAATTAAAATAATAGAGGCCAGAAAGAAGGTAAGAGAAAGTGAGTGGAAGGGAAAGGCAGGTACAGTGACTGAGGTTAGGGTGGTGTAAAAACAAACACATTCTTGATGTGTGTAGCAGAACCAAGGGTGGACAAAAAAGAAGAGAATGAGGAACATGGAGAAGGTAAAAAAGGATGATAAAAGATGAAGGATGTCTTTATGCAGTGGAATGATAGTGGAATTAAAATAAGTAGGCATTTTTAAAATTAAGCATATTGGTATGAAAATGGCTAGCTTGGATTGTCTGCTATGAAAGGAGATCCTTCAGGCGCTACTAGGTCTTTAAGGTGCCACATCAGTCTTAGTGGGGAAGTACGAAATGAGACACGTTACATTTTACCGAATGTAGTAGTCAGCAGTGAAAGCATTTCAACAGTATTGCAGCTTTTATTGTTAATTGGAGTAAGGTATTACTCCACTTCTCGAATTTTTATGTAATAGCATTATAACCTATAAGTCACTTGAACTAAAAGCTTAATATTGTGAAGGAAGAAAGTACCTTTAAATGAATGCTATCTGACACACACACGGTTTTGACTAATTGTGAATTGAATTCAACTTAAGCTTGTGTATATGTGATTCATTGTGTTTGTGTGCTTGACCATTGTATATTTCTGGAGGTGAATTTCCAGAATTGATCAGTGCAAATCTTACTGTGTTGTCTTCATTTCTTCTTCTGCCTTTTGCTTAATAAAAATTATTCAAGCAAATGTTCAGCTACTTGTTTGACTCAAATAGCATGTTGAAATTTTTTTCTCTTGCTAGTTAAACAAAAACAAATAAAATAGCAAAACATTTGTTTTTGTGTGTGTGTGTGTGAGTCCATCTGCTAACTTCAGATGTTTCCAATCTTTTGCCCTCTGCATGATTAATTTAGACACACAATCCTATGATAATATTATAATAATAAACATGGCTTCTATTAGGAGATTCACTGTTGCATGCTTTATAAATTTAATTGATGCTCTTGCTATAAAATATCTGTATAGGCACTTTAAAATATTTCTTCATTGTTTATTTTTTTCTTAAACTATTATTTTGCTAGTTGAAATTAGAGTTTTTTAATGAGATATTTAGATATCTATTCATGCAGCCCAGGATTCCTTGTTAATTTTTGTCTTGCATTTGCCTTTTGTTGAGTCATGTTAACATTAATACAGTGCTCTAGCATTAAACATTTTGTTAGATATGTTTATCATGATAGGTATTATTATATTTTAATTCTTTATTTTAGACTTTGCCATGACTTTTTATCAGCCTTAAAGATATTTCTTTTAAACATTTGAAAAATTAAGCCTATTGATAGAAAATGTTTTTAGTGAGGCAGTGATTTAGTTCTTTTTAATGGTATTGGAGGCAACTGTAATTTTTCTTCTTAAATATATTTACCTTAAAAAAAAATCACCTTGTCTCATTAAGAGATCCATTATAGTATAGGATTGTTCTTCTTTAATTTTTCCTGACCACATTTGAATTCAGAATGGATGCTTTAATGTCTGTAGGTTAGCTGCTGAATCAAGGCTTCAAACAGAAGTTAAACAAGAAACTGCAAGCAAACTGGAAAAAGCAGCTTATAAGAAATCACACCCTATTGTATATGTATCCTCCAAGTCAACTCCAGAGACCCAGTGCCCTCAGCAGTAAAGACTTTTCCTTTATGAGAATAAGGTACCACTTGCCCCAAAGATTGCTCTGGAGCTTAAATATTGTCTTTATCTGAGGATACCTTCTTGCAGCCTCTTTTCCTTCTACTCATTGTGCCAGGAACCGGTATTTTCATGCTTTGACCAAACATTCAAAATGTGATTGTGATTCTAACCAGGAGAGTTCCTTAAGTGATGAACTGTGAATCACAGTGAATAGACTATTAACTGAAGGAAAGTGTTATTATAAATCTGTTGGTTGCATTGTATATAGATTATTAAAGTACCTTCAGAGCCATATATACTTGAAAAGAGAACACATTATTATATTTTCCTATGTACATTTTTATGAACGTAGTTTTTCACTATGTTGTGAAAATAGAAAACTTTGTTTAAAAATATATTGTAACTAGATTTTGTCAGTGTTTAAAGCATGTATGTTCATCTTTGTATTCATCTACATGATTTTTGTTTCAATTACATGAAAAATACAATTTTGAAATTTAAAATAAAGCTGCTATAATTTTATCTCCTTTTTGTTTTTTTAGTCTATATAGATTATAGTATGTTATCAAAGGGAATAAAGGAAGAAAAATGAAACCAGGGATTCTTAATTCCCTGGTACATATAAGTTTTGTGTGTGTGTGTGTATATATATATATATATATATATATATATGCACACACACATAATATATATTTTCAATTCTCAACTTTCCAAATAAAAACTTTTTTTCCTGTAAGTGATTACAGCCTGGTCTGTAACTTAATTTCATGTATATATTTGATGGTGTATTAATTGAGTGAAGAGAGATTTATTTTAAGGAATTGTGTTTTGAAAATAAGGAGGCTGACAAGTCCAGAACCTACAGAGTGGCCTCTCAGGTAGTAGACCCAAAGTAGAGCTGATGTCACAGTTAAGTCCAAAAGCTGTCTGCTGCAAAAGTTTCCCTTTTTCAGGGGAGGTTAGCCTTTTGTTTTATCCAGAGCTTCAACTAATTATATGCATAGGCCCACCCACATTCGGGAGGGAAATCTGCTTTACTCAAAGGCCACAGATTTAAGCGTTAATCTCATCCATAAGCACACACACAAACATCTAGAATGATGTTTGACATTTCTAGGCTTCATAGCTCAACCAAATTCACACATCCTTAACCATCATGTTGGGTTAATTAGATAAGTCTATTGAAATATATTAGGTAAAAGGAAATTGCCCCTCCCTTTTAAATAAATAGTAAACTAATTTTGTCACAAAAAGTATATTCAATAAAGTTAGAAGTTTCATTTTAAATAATATTTCTTATAAAAAGTAGCTGAAGGCACTAGAAAACAAATGATTTTAACCTGAGGATAATAGTGAATGACCACCATATTCCTTGCATATTATAGAATATAGATCAGTTCCTTCCAACACTGAGTCTTTGTCATGAGTTAGGTGCTAGTAGTACAAGAATAAGCCTTCAGAGCTCACAGTTTAATAGACCCATATAGATGAATAGTGGTAGTTGGTGGTGGTATTACTAGTAATCATAGTTATATCTAACATTTGAATATATCTAATGTGCCAAGCACTTGTTTAAACCCTTTCACATATTACCACATTTAACCTTTCCAACATCTCTGTGAGCTAGATATACTGATGCTCATTTTACAGATGAGGAAATCAAGGTATCAAAGAGGTTGTTTGTCCAAGGCCACAGTTCAGTTCAGTCACTCAGCCATGTCTGACTCTGACCCCATGAACCGCAGCACGCCAGGCCTCCCTGTCCATCACCAATTCCCAGAGTCCACCCAAACCCATGTCCATTGAGTCGGTGATGCCATCCAACCATCTCATCCCCTCTTGTCCCCTTCTGCCCTCAATCTTTCCCAGCATCAGGGTCTTTTCATATGAGTCAGCTCTTCGCATCAAGGGACCAAAGTATTGGAGTTTCAGCTTTAACATCAGTCCTTCCAGTGAACACCCAGGACCGATCTCCTTTAGGATGAACTGGTTGGATCTCCTTGCAGTCCAGGAGACTCAAGATTATTCTCCAACACCATAGTTCAAAAGCATCAGTTCTTTGGTGCTCCAAGGTTACAAGTGTTAGTAAATAATGAAACGAGTTGTAGACATTGTACGAGTGTGTATAGAGTGCTATAGGAAAACAACAAACTGACTTGGGGCTTTTTTAGTTTTCATCATTTCTAAACTGAGATTACTTCAGAGGTTTCCTCAGCCACAGAGAATAGCATTACAAATGGAAGAAATAGCTATTCAACCAATAAAGGTATGAAACTATCTTTAATTCAGCAAACTGAAGACTGAAATGGCTGGGTGTATAGGGCTTGTGAAGAAAATTGTAAAAGGAAATTGTATCAGTAGACAGAATCTGAAGAGATGGCTAGGAGCAAAACCATGAAGAGTGTAAGTTAGGGAAATCTGTTTTACAAACAAAGATTTATAAACAAAATGAGCAAGTGTGTTTGAAGGTTGAAGAACAGAGATGACCTTATTCATCCAGCTATTGTCTTATCACCCACGGAGACTGAAACGATTCTGCTGAGTCTTGAGTCTTTTAGGAAAATGTTTTGAAAAATCGGCATACTAAATGACAAAAAGCAACTGAATAATCGATAGAAGCAAAGCAATTACTGAACAAATTTAAAAGGTTGAATGCTCAATTTATTTTCTGTAAAAATACTCTAGGGGCATAATGGAAAATGAATTTAGAAAAGAATGGAGGCTGAAAAAACTAGTTTGGCCATTCAGTAGACCAGGTAGGAAATAACAAATGTGAATGGTGAAAATGCAGAGTGGTCGTTGGAGTTGAGATATTATTTAAAGAAACAAAGTGGTGAAGAGTTGCGGGCAAAATAGGATGTGGTTCTCTGGGAGAAAGGGATATATCTGCTACATGTGAATCAGTTATGTGGTAACAGAAAATAGGGGTGGAAGGTATTTCAATTTTGATGAACACTTTTATTCAGGTCCCTGTCGGGTGTCCAAGTTGGAGTCTAGGGAAGTGTTGGTGTATGTTTACATGATCGAAAATAATGTTTTCCAAACCTTCATTTTTATATAGAAAATGTGAAACTAAGATAACTATTAATAATAGGCACTTTTTTCCTCATCATTAGTCAGAGGTGGCTTGAGGGTCAGATGTTTATACTCCTAGCCTTGATTTATTGTTTTCACTGATTAGACATAATAAGCCCTGTGTATCGGCCTAGAACAAAGATGACAAAGTAATTATGCTTTCTTGCTTCGAGTAAAGTATCGGTGTATCCATGCGTGCTAAGTCGCTTCAGTAGTGTCTGATTCTGCCACGCTATGGACTGTAGCCCACCAGGCTCTCTCCGTGGGATTCTCCAAGCAAGAATACTGGAGTGGGTTGCCATGCCCTCCTCCGGGGGATCTTCCTGACCCAGGGATCAAACCTGCTTCTCTTATGTCTCCTGCATTGGCAGGTGTGTTCTTTACCACTAGCTCCACCAGGGAAGCCCCTAAGGTATTGGTGGAAGGGTGCTAATGTTTATTGATTTGCTAGGTAATTTGCCTGTGATGTGTCTCTCAATACTATCTAGTTTAGCATAATAGTTACTATTGTAGCATCTGTTATTGAACTGCTTGAGTTGAAATCTCAACTTATCCACATAAATGTTAGACTTTAGCAAGTTTATGACTCAAAGAATAGTTTGTTTAGGTAATCCTTTAATTTTTTTTATAATTATTTAAAATATGTGGGGGCTTCCCTGGTGACTCAGTGATAAATAACCTACCTACCAATGCAAAAGACAGAGGAGCCTGGCAGGCTACAGTCCATGGGGACACAACTTAGTGACTGAACAACTACAACTCTGGCTTCCCAGGTGGCACTAGTCATAAAGAACCTGCCTGCAAATGCAGAAGACAGATGTGGCGTTGATCCCTGCTTCAGGAAGAGCCCCTGGAGAGGGCATGGCAATCCATTTCAGTATTCTTGCCTGGGAAATCCCATGGACAGAGGTTACTGGCAGGCTGCAGTCCATGGGAGCACAAAAGAATTGGATACGACTTAGCGACTAAACAATAACAACAACAAAATATGTGGATCCAGAATAAAATCTACAAGAGGTTTATTTAAGGAAATCTAGCTTCTATAACTGTTACCTCCTCCCACCAGGAACCATTTAAATTTCATGGTTTATTTTCTCTCTCTCTTTTTTTTTTGTCTTTCTACATAGCAGATGTAGATAGTAGGTAGATAGAATCTCCATTCTTTTTCTTAGATAAAATAGTGGGTGATATCAGAGAAGACTTGTGGATAGGAAACAACAAAAGCCTATCCCTCTACAAAATCTGATAATAAACTGGCAAGGATAGTCAGAACCAAATTTTTTAGATTCTGGAAAAGAAATCAAAGATTCACAGCAATAAAGTAAACAATTAAGCTTTTGCACAACAAAGGAAACTATAAGCAAGGTGAAAAGACAGCCCTCAGAATGGGAGAAAATAATAGCAAATGAAGCAACAGACAAAGAATTAATCTCAAAAATATACAAGCAACTCCTGCAGCTCAATTCCAGAAAAATAAATGACCCAATCAAAAAATGGGCCAAAGAACTAAACAGACATTTCTCCAAAGAAGACACACAGATGGCTAACAAACCACATGAAAAGATGCTCAACATCACTCTATCAGACAAATGCAAATCAAAACCACAACGAGGTACCATTACACGCCAGTCAGGATGGCTGCTATCCAAAAGTCTACAAGCAATAAATGCTGGAGAGGGTGTGGAGAAAAGGGAACCCTCTTACACTGTTGGGAATGCAAACTAGTACAGCCGCTATGGAGAACAGTGTGGAGATTCCTTAAAAAACTGGAAATAGAACTGCCATATGACCCAGCAATCCCACTTCTGGGCATAAACACCGAGGAAACCAGATCTGAAAGAGACACGTGCACCCCAATGTTCATCGCAGCACTGTTTATAATAGCCAGGACAAGGAAGCAACCTAGATGCCCATCAGCAG